ATGTACTCAATTAGGCACTTATCCTAATAGAGGTGTCAACACTTAACTCTTTTTTTATGTGGAATTTTGGTGTTACATTTTTATCATTATATGATATGTGTAAATGTGTAAAATTTATAAGGGATTAATTATTATTATATAAGTGAGGAGTCATATAGTAAAACTTAATCATTACTATTATTGCATGAAAAAAAGTAAGAAGTGAAGATAATTAAGAATAAAAAGTAAAATAATGATTAAAATTAACTTAGTTCATAATATTATATTCATTTTTAATTAATTATTTTTTGTTATAATTTGTGTGCCATGATTTCTACTTTCCTAAGCCAAGCAATATTAACAATGGTTTATGGCTACCTGGTAAACACTATCCCTGAGAAGACTCACCAAACAGGCCTATAGTTTTTAACTTAAAAATGAATTTATATACTTTTAAATTTTAATTAAACAAAAAAAGAAAATATACAAAAAAAATTTGTGGCTGCTGTGGTAATAGATTTCTCCTATAATTACTATGCCAAGATAAAGTGTTAATTATCAATGATTATTAAAGATCAACCTGCCTACCATTCTACCATATCATTTATTTGTCACATTTGGTATGACAACATAATTGTTATGACATGATAGTACCTACTCTTAGTTTTAACTCAAATACAATGTTTTTAAACTTAAATTAGTCTAGCCATTTAAATCAGTTAAACCGATACCTGATGATGAATTCGGTTCAAGTAGAGGTACAAACATGTTTGTGAAATTGACCTGAATTAAACAGACATGGCCTACTAAAACTGGAAAACTAGTGACTTGGTTAACCAGCCAATTGATTCTTTTAGGAAGAAAAGAAATTAATGACCTGTGACTCGGTTAACCGATTGGTCTTTTATTTTAGGAAGAAATGGAACACTCAACCGCAAAATCTCTCTTTTAAGTGATCTGCCACTTGAACTACATGGATTCTTTGGACAAGGCTCAAACTCTTAACTTATCAAATTGTAAATAGTGCTATTACCATCTAACCAACAAGTTTAGCCATGTTTGTTATGTAAATTTTTTTTTTTTGTTATTATTATTTATAACATCATCTAGCTAAACTAATAGTCTATTTAATCCAATTAGTCTAACAGGAACGAAATGTCACAACCAGTTGGCCTCTAGTTTGGGTTTAAAGACATTACTCCTCACATATGACAAGAGAAAAAGTATAGGGAAGGATAAAAGCATTTTTATTTTTTTTATTTAAGAATACTAGTTTTATTGTTTTTTATGTTGTGGATGGAGTGGTTCTACGTTGTCTCTAAGTAAGAACACTGCTGTAAAATTTGAGTTTCAATTCTCAGTTTTTTTCTTATCTCCTCACCTTAATAGTTGTAAATAATTACTTTTGTTAAAAAAAAAAGAATACTAATTTTATTAGTTTTTAATTAAAATAATAAATTTTTATTTCTTATTTAAAATATTAATTTTGTTTTTATTTTAAAATATTAACTTTATATATTTTTATTTAGGAATATTAATTTTATATTTA